TATTTTCTTTTCAATACTGAATGTATTAATCATGTAATTTACGTACATCGATAAAATTCTATTTCCTTTTCGATATATGACATGTTTATGCAGTCATCTGTCTTCCCCGCTCTCTCTTGCTAGCGTAAATGCTCTAGTTGTTGAATTCTGTGAACAGCGAGCGTACTCTCGTATCACTGCGCTAGCGAAGGAAAAACAGCACGAGCAAGAAGAAAGGGGCGGAGCCTTCGATGTCATTGGTTGTGCTAGCGCATGTTTGCTAGCGTTTTGCTCTCGCAAAGTGCTAGTTTGCGGCTGCTCTTAGTGGTGTCAGACGAAGGACCTAACAACTTGGCCCCCGCAGCTTCTTTGGGACAAGATAAGGCAGCTAAATGACAAAAAATATTATTTTTATTCACAAATTAAGCATGCATTTACAAAAACATAGATCAGATTTATTAGAAACAATAGAGGAATTACACTGACAAATTTTAAAATGACAAACATGACATCAAAAACAAAATAGGAACCAACACAAGAACTGAAAGAATGTCAGAAATTGAAAAACAAAGCACATCAACAAGAAACTATCGATTAAATTATTTCGCAGCAAATTTTCTGGCTTTTGCTGAAGCAAATTTTTCAATTATATCACTAAAATTTGTTTGTTTAACTAAATCATTTTCAATGCATAAAATTGTTAGGATATTTAGTCACTCCTGACCAGTTGAGTTTCTTTGTCATGTCTTCAGTGAATTTACCAGTTTACTGAAAGATCTCTCAGCCAAATAAACAGTTACTGGCACTGTACAAAACAGCTTAATTGCAAGACTAATATTAGCAAATTAACCCTGAAGTTTTTTATCGTAAATCACACTCAGAATTCCAATTGGGCTTTTTTTCCGTGCTGGAAACTGTCAAAAATACAAGCTGGCCATCTTTATACTGGGCCTTCTGACTAGGGTCCAGTCAGTCACTACCATGTGGGGACCATGATGGACATGCAGACCAGGGACTTTGTTGAGACAGAAAGCCAAGCTTATACTAGATGCTTTCTGTGGTGACCAATGATGTGAAGAAAGTTATTGGAGAGAAGAACACAGATTTTGAGATTTTCCCAAGCATGATGTCCTTCCAACTCCCAAGTTTTGGATATTTGTGTCAACAAACAATTCAAAAATATTCTAAGAGAACAAAATTATTTCTGGCTTATAAGTAACCAATATAAACTTATGCCAACTGGAAAAGTACAGATGTTGCCCTTATGCTTCAATGAGTATTAGAGACTTGTAAATGGTAACATTAATGACTTTTGTAGGACATTCTGTAGATATAAAAATATAGGTCATAGTATATTCAGTTCTATTTATTTTCTTATGAAACACTCCTTGAAATTTGGGAGCCATACTATCTTTATATAAGATGGAGACACAAATGTTTACTATTAAACCAGATTTTGGTAATTAATTCAGTCTTAAAATAAGTTGAAAAAGATCCAGCAATTTAGTTAATTGATTTTTTTATTCATTGTTTTATTTCCTATACAAAGAATAAAAAACCATGGAGAACAATGTGTAAGTGGGGTGCAATCAAAAAGAAACTGGACTATTCACACTGTTCAACAATATTGTGATGTACAGTCTTTTTATTACCAGGGATTACTTTAATGTGTCAGTCTGCCAAATGATGTTGAGTTTTTCAAATTGAAATGTTTGCTACATATAATTTTGTAATGTATTAGTGTCGTGCTGCAATTTTGAGAATGAACTTGAAAATTGAGCAAAAAGAAAAAAGTTAAATTTTGTGTTAAGCTTGAGGAATATGTCACATATACCCTTGAAGTACTTTAAGAGACTTTGCTGCTATGGGCAAGACCACAATCTCCCAAACCCAAAAAAGCAAGACAAGTCAGAAGCATGACCCAGAGAGATTGTTGATTTTTTTTTAATCATAAATTCCTGGTGAATAATTCTATTGTTTCTCCTGGTCAGACAGTGAATTCAGATTTAATGTTTAAGATGATTCATAAGGATATTTGTCACAAAAGATGGTCCAAACAGAACCTGCTCCCTTGATCATGATAATGCTTCCACATAAACAGCCTTCAAAACATGAGCATTTTTTGCAAAAAACCAATATGTCAGTCCTTTCCCATCTTCTTTACTTCCTGCATTTAGCTTCTTGTAACTTCTCCAGAATGAAGTTGAAATTCTAGGAACAATGTTTCCATATGATGGAGGAGAACCAGTTTAAATTACAATAGGAAATTTTCAAAGCAATAGCTTCAAAGACTTGAGATTGCTGTATGAATGCAGAGGGGACTACTAAGAAGGGCCAGCCAGACTTAAATTAGTTAAGTATTGAAATCTTAATAGACTAATCCAGTTCGTTTTTGATTACACCTTATATTTAAACAATTTACATGAAGTGAAACATTTTGAACTTATCTATGTAAGATTTGTTCTAGTTTTTCTTTTTAGAAAAAGAAAGTAGAAGGAAAAGTATAGAAAATTTATCATTATATTTAATGTAAATATTGAAGATTTACAGAATAGAATTTTAAGTGAATAGTATGTACTAAAATCAGTCAAGACTGATTTTAGTACAGGTATACCTCGAGTTACGTTGTTCTCGATTATACATTGTTATAATACAAAAAATATACAGAATAATATATACAAAAAATATACCAAAAAATAAAAATCAAGTTTAAGTCAATTTATTTGACTTTACGTCCGTCCGTCACAAATATTGAAGTCATAATATCGCTAGAAAAGCATTAAAGCACATAATATCATATTAAAATATGTACATTTACAGTAAATGTTGATATAGTCATCATAAATCCTAGAGAATGAAACATGAAAACATCTGTGTTTCTGTGTTGTTGTCTTATTTAGCGGTCTTTAAGTACTCAATATTGGTGTTTTCCACGGTAGCTCCAATATCTACCATTTGGCATCGTTGTCAGCGCCACTCGATATTGGTAAATTTAATATAAATTAGTTTATTTTCTACTGTCGCAAGATAATTTTAATAACTGTATTTGTTATTTAACCTTACAAAATCATCTTATTTTATAATGTCTTAGAGCAAACCACATTCACAAATAAAGGGTCTGCAATATACTATAAACATCGCCAAATTGTAAACATGTACATTTACAAGTATGTACTATACGTACATGAATTAATAAATTTAGATCACTTTTTTCTGTACTATATTAAAAACTGTTTGTAAGCTTAAAATAGATTCTTATTAACCATATATTATTAAAAATGCATTTATAAATAAAACACAGAACTGGGAATGGTTATTTGTGGTTTAGCCTAGTGACAAGTAAATACGGAGACAAGTAAATTCGACTTATGTTGTTTTTCAACTTAAGTTGCCTCTCCTGGAACCAATTATCGACGTAAGGCGAGGTATACCTGTACATTCTATTAACATAATTGATTAGGACATATACAGCATAATTGATATAGCATTAGTACAGTATAATTGATTAGGACACATATGATCAACTTTAATTTTCAATTTTATAATTATTATGCACAAAATTATAAAGTTTTAAAATATGTTTAAAATTATAAAGGTGATTAGAAGATTAAAGGAAAGAGGAGAACCAATACTTTTCTTTGGCGAAACTGAACAGGAAGCATTTCAGCGATTAAGACGTTTAGAAATTTTGGAACCTGAAGTCGATCGTGGATTTAGAAATGACTTTCAAGAGGCGATGGAAAGGGTTGATCAGGCTTATTTGGATGAAATTCTGAAATCACAAGGAAAGACAGAAAGTGGAAAATCTGTTAATGATGTCAAATTTGAAGATGCTGGAACTACTTTGGAAGAAATAAAGGTAAATATTAAAGCATTATATTAAGATTTGTATAAATTTAAATTTGCAACAAATTGGTCTTTATTTAACACACAAGAAACAACAACACTGCCAACTTTGAATTGGCTTTTGGAGTTGAAATTTCTCACTCTTTCTAATGCTTCAGGTTTCTGTAACCCCATCAGAGACATTAATAGTAAATATGAAAACTATTATTAGGGTTATCAGGGAAACTTATATTTTATGTAAACTTGGAGAATTGATTTATTTTTCTGGAAATTTCCAAATACTAGATTGGTAGTTTGGAACAAAGGAATTTTTAAAGCTAAATATGTTTTAAAATGTTATTTTATGTAAGTATGGAATGTGAATACAAAACTTAATTTAATTAACTTTACCAGGCATATATAATTTTTATTAAAGATGAACAAGTACTATACTATTTATACTATCTGCAAATACTATTCAAGTATTCACTTGAATACTAGAAAGTAACTCAATTACAATAGATGAATAAATAATTTAATACTAGGAAGTATTTGAGATTTGAGATCTAGAATATTATGTTGATAAAAAATAGTCAAATACTCCAATATAGTGCTATACCTTCAATCAAGAAGTACCCAGAAGGGAGGCTAACAAAATATTTAAAATATTTGAATAATTGGGCTGCAGTTTGAAAAAATTGTAGATCTAGAAATTCCCACTGTTGTCTGTTTGTCCCTAACCTTGAGAATGGAGTTAGGTAGATGAAAGACAAGATCAGATATGGAAACCTTAGGGGCAAGAGGGGCCCTGATTAACTATATACGAACATCCAATGCAAACCAAAAATCTTGTTATTTCAATTCAAAACTTCCCCTGAAAGCAGTTAATAGATGACTGCCACAACTATATTGTTAAAGGAAAAGTATGATGTAAAGGGGCAAGGCACTGCTAATTTGAAGGTGGAGAACAGATATTTTAAATTAAATAAATTAAAAATATGATTAAAAATTGCAGCTGGGCATTGTGACGATGTCACAATAAATAATTGCTTGTTAATCATTTATTAACATGTACTATATGTATTATAGACAATCCTATAAACAATATTTCTCATCAAATGTTTTATTAACATTTTGAAGTTTAAACAAAGAAATTATTTTTGTGTCAATGGCATTTCCTTGTATTTTCCTGCATACAGCTTCTTCGGTATCTTAGATTTAATTTATGACTGGAAAGGAAGCAGACTAGATCCCAAAAGTTTTTGAATTTTTGTTTTCTTAAATAAAAATCTGCAGCAGGTGAGAATGAGAACAATTATTTATTATCTATTGTAGCTGAGTTAAAAAATTCTGCTTTGAAACTCCAGTTCAAAATGAAAAGTTTTGAAGTTTCATTTCATAAAGTTTAATAAATTATTTTTTGTTTTTACTTTTTGTTTTAGTTTATTAATATATTGAAATAAGTAAAAAAAATTCAATCTAAATATATAAAATTACTTGTCCTGACTGACTGAGTGACTGATTGAGTGAATTGATTCATCATTGCCCAGAGCAAACTGCTGAACCTAGAGATGAAATTTTGTACACAGTTAGGGTACGTCATGAAAATGCACACTAAGAATGAAATTTTTCGAAATTCCCCTGTGGGGGAGAGGGAAAGGATTAAGGCTAACCTGAAGAACAGCTTCTACTGTACTATTTTAGATGCAATTTTTTTTGTTTTCAACTACATTTAGTTTTCATTGAGTACTTAGGTGTATTAAATTGATAATATTTCAGACATTGTTATAAATATTTTTATATATTTTGATGTTTTAACCAAATGTTCAAACTGTTTTAAATTTGAATTTGTTATTGCATAATAGGTTCGATTATAGAATGATTGTAAACATTCCAGAGAATTTATCAAATTGAAAATAGTTTGATTCTCAGCAATTCTCATCATTCTCAGTGGTAGGTGTTATATGACAATTACTATGGTTGTTGAAATACTGAATATAAATGGGGTTTGCTTGCAAAATCTGCACGGGCAAAGTTGCGGGTAACAGCTTGTAATAAATATTTAGCTATTTAGTTAATAATTTACTTTATACAGACACAATAAAGTGACTTTTTTCAAAACACTTGGTAGATTATTCATCTCGAGATTCGAGACTGGCCAATCTGTTCATTCTTCACTTGATCTATGGAATCTGATACAGTCCATTATGTACGTCATCTATACGTTTGTAATCTGTACTTTTAAGGTATGTTTTTTAAATGTGTTATATCTACAGAATGTTTAATTCGTGTATGTATATGTAAATTTTCTCATGTTTGATTTTAACGTTTAGTTGGCTGAAGAGAGCTAATGCCTGAAACGCGACCTGTAACTAGTGTCCCAACTGAATAAAGAGATGAACAATCTGCCAAGTGTTTTGGAAAAAGTCACTTTATTGTGTCTGTATAAAGCAAAGTAAACTACAACATGGTTTCATCAGAATCTAATAATTTACTGTTATGTTATGTAATGTAATTAAGTTCACTAAGTATTCAAGGTATCTGAGATCCAGTTAATATTTGAATTCAGGAAAGGTAATATTTGTCCATCTTTAGTTTTTATTCCTGTTTGTTTTTGTATTCTTATTTATTGGAAGATAAATGGAGCAGTTTGGTGACTGGGCGGTAAAGGATAGGACATGACATTGGCACAGCCTGTCTATGAAAAATTCCCAAGGTTCTCTGCCTGGATTGATCTGGGTCTCCAAAATATTGGACCAATGCCTTTATTGCGTCATCTGTGAACAGATGCATTTGTTTAAGAAAAAAAAACCACTTCGTTTATTGATTATTAATAAGGAATGTATCATTAAATGGACACATCTAAGTTTATTGAATACTAATAACATTCAAATTGAAATTGTCCTCATAAAAATGAAAAATGTAATTTTATAATCTAGTTTGATTCATTGTTTTCATTAGACTAATTCGTTATCATTGTCATTGAAATGACTTGCACGAGTTTATAAATTTTATTTTTTTCAAAGTAATAATTTCAGTTTTAAAAACAATATATTATTTAATTTTAAACATAGACTTGCATAAACAGTATTTTATGCAAGTCTATGATTACACAGCATTCAAGATTGAATGCTGTGTAACTATATTTATTTGTATAAAACATAAATTAGTATGAATTTACCAAAATAAATGAATTGATATCTGAAAAGTCTATAGTCTTATCGACGATAACAATTTGCCATAAAAATATGTTAGATTCATCATTATTGGGAAAAGGTGTAATGTATTATAATAGGAAGTATGATGTTGCTGGTCAACTTTATCATTGCCAGAGCATTTTGTGAATCAATATCGTGTGAGTTTTACTAAAAAATAATAATATGACAGAATAACTTTTTTGGCTAAGTTTTCAAATTACTTTAACTTCAAAATGAGATTAAATTCTAGTAATGTAGTGTGGGGAAGGACATGCCAGGAATTTTTCATAGGCGAATTAAAGAATGTAACAGTTGCTGAATTACAAAAGAAATTAAATGAATTAGGAGACAAGATAACAGGGACAAAGGCAGAACTTTTAGAAAGGTACGCAAGCTTAAAATAATAAGTATAAACTGATGCTTTTACAGTTGTTGGCTTTCATTTTCAATCTTATAATGTAACTAGCTGTTACCCACAACTTTGCCCATGCAGATTTTGCAAGCAAACCCCATTTATATTCAGTATTTCAACAACCGTAGTAATTGTTATATAACACCTACTGCTGAGAATGATGAGAATTGCTGAGAATCAAACAAACTATTTTCAATTTGATCAATTCTCTGGAACGTTTACAATTGTTCTATAATCAAACCAATATGCAATAACAAATTTGAATTTAAAACAGTTCGAACATTTGGTTAAAAAATCGAAATATATAAAAATATTTATAATGTCTGAAATGTTATCAATTTAATACACCTAAGTACTCAATGAAGACTAAACGTAGTTGAAAACAAAAAATCACATCCAAAATAGTACAGTAGAAGCTGTTCTTTAGGTTAAAAACTCTCCTTCTCCCCCGCGGGGGAATTTCCAAAAATCCCTTCTTAGTGTGCATATCTTAACTGTGTACAAAATTTCACCTCTAGGTTCAGCGGTTTGCTCTGGGCGATGATGAATTACTTGTCCTGACTGAGTGATTGACTCAGTCAGGACAAGTAATTTTATATATTTAGATTGTGAGGACAACAATTTAGTTTTAATTACTCAACTTCAATTTGTAATATACTTTTGAAATTTTAGATACATAACAATAAACACAAATCAATGTTAAAAATCATTGTCATTAATGTTTGATAATTAAAATAATTTTAAACTGTTTTTGAAATTAATTGCATTTATAAATGTAACATAATTATAAGGACACAATATTTTTGGAAAAATTCATACCATTTGATATTTAGTTGGACCTTCTTTCATTTGAATAACATCAAACAATCTATCAGGCATAGTTTGAATAGATTTTTGCAATTGTTTCACTTCAATATTTTCTCAAGCAACCATAGTTGGTAATTTTAACTGGTTTACTTTATAATAATGCTTGTTTTGACCATAAACTATTTTTGTTATTATGCTCCATAAATTTTCTTTTGGACTAAGATCCAGTCTAATACTGTAAATTACTTATATTTCAGATACTAAATTTTCATTAAAAAAAAATATACATTAAAAAACTTCCAAGTAATTTATGTCTTGAATAATTTATCATTTAAGTTAAAACTAAATATATTTTTTCAAACATCTTAATTTTACAGGATATGGCCAAAAATTTTGGCAGAGGAAACGATAACCACGATATTAAAGTAATTCTTACCTTTTTAAAGGTATGGCTTTATTCTTTTTAGAATTAAATTGTAATTATTATAGATTATAAGACAATATAACAGGAATAAAATAAAAAATGTTTTAATTTGTGGACAGTTCATCCTTCAACTGTGGGGTCAGAAACTGAATGCGAGAACGGAAAGTGAGAAAATGTGCATGAAGGGAAAATTGGCATCAGCCACCTACACACAAACGCAGTCTTACATCGGGCCGTTATTCAAGAGGTTGAAGAACAAGACTATTCACGAAGATATTTTAGAACATCTGGTACACATAGCAAAGTATATGCTGGATAGAGATTACGTCAAAGTATGACTTCTGTACATTCTGACAAATAAGATGTTTATTTACATCGATTAATACGCTGATAAATCTCTTTTTTAGGCTAATGACACCTATCTGCAGATGGCCATTGGCAACGCACCCTGGCCCATCGGCGTCACCATGGTTGGCATTCACGCCCGTACCGGCCGAGAGAAAATCTTCTCTCGCAACATTGCACGTATCCTTGGAAAAACCTTTCGGTTTATTATTTTTCAATTATGTGAGAGTCATTCTAAAAGAAAAGAACGTTTTGATCTGACAAGCCATGCAGTTCTCCCACCACCCTCCACTGTCGTGTCATGAACCTTCCCATGTTTTCGTGCCAGTCTGATGCTAGCAGCGAGCCATGATTATTTACTATTTACAGTGTGACTTTGAAATGTGTGACAAAATTAAAGATCCCACCAAGTGCGAGGTTCATAGTGTAATATGGTTTTTGAATTCAAAAAAAGTCTGCCCTGTCAAAATTTACAAACAGATAACCAAGGTTTATGGTAATGTGATGAATGAAGCTTCAGTTCAAAACAAACGGTAGGGATTGTTGTCCAGAGGCATTGTGCTTCTTCAGGATAATGCACATCTGCATGCTGCTGTTTTGATGAAGAACTTGCTTCAGCAGTTTAAGTGGGAAGTTTTTGAACATCCCATCCTTCTTATAGCCTGGACTAAGTTCAAGTGATTACATCTTTTCCCAAAGTTGAAGGAATTTTTAGCTGGGAATCACTATGGAAGTGACAACGAACTGAAAGAGGCCGTTAATGACTGGTTGAAAAACTTGGCAGTAATTGAGTGTGCAGAAGGCATAGAAAAGCTGATGATATGCTATGAAAAATGTTTAAATTTGTATGGGAACTACATAGAAATATAGCTAAGGTATCATATGTGTTGTAAAATAAGTTTTGTTTCATTATCTTAACTAAAAATATCTAGAGAAACAAACGTTCTTTACTTTTAGAATGACCTTCGTAATTTATCCTGTTGTTGTTGTTATTATTTCTTTAATTCATATTACAGATGTGTTAAATGACGAAACGCAAAGGAAATTCATTCAGGTACGTATTCCAATATTTGCCTAGCTGTAACAATATTTAGCATAATGTTTCTAACGTCATTAGAAAAACAAATCTAGAATACTTTTACTTTTATCCTTAAAATACAAGATATTTTTAATAAGAAACCAAATGGCACATTCTTATTTTTCTCACGGATGAATGCATACTTAAAATTTGATTTTGGTTGACTTTTTATATTAATTACACTACAAAATATATTAAAGCTGCATCCAGAATCCAGAGCTTGAGTTTTTTTTATGGCAGTCTGATCCTAATACTTATTGTCCAGTCATCCTCATTATCAATGTAATAAAAAGATTATAAATTAACCAGAAAATGGCAAAAAGTTACAGAACAATTTAGCATATCTTATTGGTTAAGTTATATTTAAAACGTCAAACAAAATACTCGCTATTTGAAATTTTTTTTGGGTTTAATAAACGTGTTTTTACTGGTTGTGAAAAATATAAATTTGGGAACATCACAAGTTGGAGTTGATGATTTTACCAGTCATCAGGCACCACCTAATATTAATTTAAGCATTGCAATAAATGGAAATCTGTTATGCTACAGAACAGAGAATCGTTGTAGTGGAAAGTTACTGAAAATTTAGACGACCATTCGTAAGAAAATATTACCGTGTCTACAGAGTTTTTACCATGCTAGTCTTAATTGCAATAGTTTTTTCTGGCAATCACTTACCATTAGTGGTACAAAATCATCAATCATAATGTTATGTAAAACAAAATCCGCATTTATTCCACGACCGCAACACGATGCTAATTGTTAATATAAATTGATTTCTGAATTTTCATTTTCTCAAGAATTAATAAATATTTACACGTTTTACTTTATTTTTAGGCACTGAAACGACTGATGACGCAATGTCAGAGATTGTTCCCCACCGACCCGTCGAGATCGGTAGAATATAACGCCTAAACGAAATTGCCATTTGTGTGGGGACAGATGGGAAGGAGACATGATGTGTAAAAGAATTTTATTTCAACCAACAGTTATTACAATGTCATCTGAGAAAATATCACAAAATCAACAACATTAGGCAAGTGCTGCATTTACAAAGTGCACACACTAGTGACTGGGTATTTTCGTAACTGATATGATGCAAACGAGTCGAACGTGAATATGTAAATATCTATCAAAAATCGTCTCCGTACAAAATTACGACGTGAAACTATTGGAAAAACAAAAACGGATTGGGGCAACACATAAACAATATAACGGAAACGCATCATTTCTTACAATACTACGTACACTCTCTCCGACTTTGTTCGAGATAAAATAATTTAATTGATTGTTTTATTGCTTCCAATATAAATTTATTTTTTATATCACAAACAATACTGAACGTTTGGTTAGAATAGGATTGTTCGTCTAACTGGCAGGAGGTTAAAGCGGTAATTTTAACGAGCTAAATTTAGTGATGCCGTGGACAGATTTTCTTTTAATAAATAACAAACGATGCAGAAGACGTTATGATTATCACTATATTTCCACAATTATGTAGAAGGTTTTTTTTCTTCTTAATAGGAGACGACATCTTTTGATACTTGGTTGGAAACTAAATTTTTTTGAAGCAACACGCGGGGGACGAATTGACTTTGTCGCAGTTTGAATCCTCAAAAGCGCAAAGTTTTACTTTGGAAAAGTTATTATATTGGAAGTCAAATAACAAATTATAACTTTGAAAGCATTTAAAAAGTCTTTTTTAGCTTCTCGCTCGCATCCGATTGCTTTGAAATTTACAGAATGCATTTCCAATCAATTTACACTGGATGCTAATGAAGAAAATAAATAATATTGCAGTGAGCATTTACAATACACAAATGTTAAAAACTTCTCAATAGAGAGATGTTAATAAATTAATGATACCTATGGCATTTAATGATGATACCCCAAATAAATATTTCGTTATGGATATGACATGTTAAACCACACATTAAAGAATAAAAACTTAAAAAACAAATACTGATATTTTGTGTCTTTTTGATAAAACGTTTGATGTATTTACAAATTTAATATTCTTTGCGAAACAAAGAAAAAAAAATTGTGCAATGATCATCCACACGTTAATATAACAAAAAACATGAAAAATTTATCGAGTAAATATAGTGTATAAAGTATAAGGGGGCAGTGCTTGACGTGGAAAAAATTCTGTACAAAAGTCAATTGGTTAACAATAAAGTTTAAACTTAAAATTTACTATGGCCGCAAGACGAAAGTTTCACTTGTAACTTCCACCTTCGATGCTATAAGTGAAGAATTTTTGAGTAAATTTTTGGTTTCCTCGTAAATAAATTTGATTATCATTACATACTTATAGACATTCTCACCTTTTGAATTTTAGCGTGGAAGTTAAGTGAAAACCATCCTGCGAATCTCCAAGCCATACTAACAAATTTTCACCGTAATTCTCTTTATAAAGTATTTTTTTTAAACAATTTGTGGCTTTGGCGAGAATGTGTTTTTTTTTCCTTCGGGAATGAATGAAAATAAATATAGGTGACATAAATACGCATGCATTAGCAGGAGCTTTCTTGTTCTTCAGATTTTCTTCTCTCCTTCTGTCTTTGCCGAAACTTCATGAACTCTTCTTTTAGAGCAGCACATCTGGCTTCGGTGTTGTCATATTTACTCAGTCTTTTTGGTTGTGGATAAAAATTTGTATCGATTTCACTGTCGCTGAAACCCCGGTCGCTTCTTGCAGACTGGGAGAGAAAACTGGGAAGTGTCTGTCTGTACGTTTGTAATTTTCCCGGTTCTTTTTCTGTATGGTGGGGTTTGAACTCGAACGCGGCACCGTGATGAGACATGCTGGGTTCCGAATGCGGAGAATCTAATGCGGTGCTAATGAAATCGGACGAAGGATGACCGAAATGAGGAACCGCGGTGGGATATCTTTGAGAAAGTGAAGTGTTGATATTGGAAACATTTCTACTGGCGAAACCACTGCTGCAATTGCTGTGATTCATGGCAGATATATCAAATTCTCCCTGCAAACTATCTTGATGAGAATGAGAATGTGAAAGTGATGTCGGTTTGCTATCCTGAACACTACTGCCTTGGCCAGAACTACTGCTTGTGACGCTAATTCTACATCGTGGCATGGCATTCGGTCTTTCTATGTTGTGACCCGGTTGAATTCTGCTTGGAGAATGAGTCGTTGGTCTTATTCCAGTCTGTACAGATGATATGGGTTTGGGTAATGCCATTTTTGGTAATGTAAATTGTTGATCATTTCGATGAATGACGCCTCTCCTGACTCTTTCCACGGCACCCAATAAACGTTCTCGTGTGTAAGTCATTGGGTAATTGTTGACGTTTCTGTTGGTTTCTCGACTGATTCCTTGCAGTGTCGTGGTTCCTTTTGCCTGCGTGGGCGGCACGTATGCGATTCGTCTTTCAGGTTGCGGAGGGCTACTCGTTGCTAGAGGTTTTTGCTCTTTAGATTGATTTTGTTTGTGTGGTGGATAATAAACATTTGGGGCGTGTACATTTTCCAATGGTACATCTGGCCATTTATCACCCATGCTTCTCTCATCTTTGTGCACACTTCTTCCTGTCTGTGGATGTAAATGAATTTGTTCATTTAAAAGATGATGATGATGTGGTGTTTGTGGCATAGCTTTCATTAATGGGAAATTAATGTCACTTTGTGCTTTATATTTTTGAATAGGTTTAAACTGCCCTCTCATAAGATGTATGTGAGGACTGTTTACCATTTGAAATGATGGAAGTTCATAGGATGGAGTATGAGGAGCAATGGTACTTGCAAAATGACTGGAAACTGTGCTCGGAAAAGATCTTTCAGCCGACGAGGGATTGACGGAACTCAAATCCTCTAGCACGAATGGCCCGGCAGCAAGTGGGCCCGGACTGCTCGTTCTAAATAAATATCTTCTAGATGAATGAACGGAAGAAAAAGGAACATTACCACTACGAAACGGAGGAGAATGCTGTGAAAAAAACTGTGGCGAAAATTTATCCCAATAACGCGAATTGTTCTCATAACTACTGGGATGATTAGATAGGATAAAATTATTTGTCGGAGTGATGCAAGCAAACCTTCCATCATCTTTTCCTCCAACGACAAATTTCCCTTCGGCAGTGCGACTAATCCATCCAAGAGGTTGGGAATATTCAAATTCTAAACTATAGTGGGCAGTTTTGGGAAAACGTCTTCCTGGAAGAGAAGAGGGTAATGTCCTCGACACATATCCACATGACCAATCCTGCACATTTTCTACATTTCTTTGATGAATGCTATTTGAATACCTTCTCTGCGCTAAATTAAATCTTAAAGCGTGGGAAATTCCACTGAATATCCGTCTAAGTGTAGTTATAATCACACATGGCACACAACTTTCTTTGAATCTAGAATAAGTGCTAAAATATATAAAAAAAAAAAAAAATTATTGAAAAATATGTAAATTGCATTCTTCCTAAAAAACTTGAGATTAATATTTATGAAATATTAATAAACAATATTTTTCTTATGATCTTGACTTGATCTTCAAAATTTGATAAGATTTGAAAACAAATTAATAACTTATTTTGAATATAAAACCACATTCACCTTTTCGTCCTCTGTCAAAGTGGCCGCAGGAAAGAGAATAAATGATTAGAAAAATTAATCATCACCACATGCTAAATGATTGGTTGATTCATTTATCATACTTATAGTCTGATAAATGAATCAACAAAAAAATAAAGTAATGAGGTTCATTTTATGTATGGTGAATAAATTACATACATCCTATTCCAATGATAAATTTTTGATTAAAAATGAAATTGGCATCATCATCGAATCAACTTGTAGTTCTGATGATAAGTTATTCACCATATCTTTAAATTAAAATTAAATATTTTTGGAAATAAAATTGTTATATTTGATAAAAATGCCTTATTAACTATATTTTCTAGAATGTTTAATAATTCTACAAATAAAAATATTTAAAATTAAAAAATATCCAGTTGGCTCAATATAAATTGGAAATTATTAAATATAGATAAAACTAATTAAACTTTATATGGTTGATTTTATAGGATGAGGCAATGCAACAAAGGACACTCTCTCAAGAGATTGCCCTGGGAGGACTTTCCACAAGAAACATCCCTATTTAGGTGTTAGACACATGAAGAAAAACATGGAAAACTTCAGGCCAGCTTGTTGGCCAGGCGTAAACCTGGGACCAACTGGCCACTGATGAGCACTTAAATTTTATGTAAAACTAGAGAAAATTTCTTTGGAATTTATTATTAAGCAAATCTTATTCTTAAGCTTATAAACAGAAGTGTCTTAAGTACTGAAAAATATTTGCTAGTTCTGGAATTCACACTTCATGTTTTACAATAGAACTTTTATTATTAAAAACTCTACATAGGAATAAATATAAATGTTGACTGATGTTAAAAATACATTTACTTTTTGACTTGCAGTAATATAAGACTTTTGTAACTGCACATAGAGAAATATTAGTCAGTGATGCAATCCACTGTTTTGCATTGGTTATCATCTAGGAATAGTATTTGATAAAATTGAGTGTTTTTCTTTTTCAATTAATTTACTTGCATTTATTTATTCATGAGAATATTCTTGAATTAAATAAGGAAATTTTATAAATTATGTAATTTTGATTATTTGTAATTAATTTTTCTGCCAGACAGCAAGAAACCCCACAGTTATACATTTAATGCCTTTAATATTTTTACTTTGCTGGCTGTTGCAGAGAAAGTATGATGATTAGTCAAATTTTGACTGCCATTTCTCTTTTGCATTTCTCAACATTTTGACACTCAATGAGCCCAAAAATGTAAAAGGGGGAAAAACATTACAAAATTGTGTGTGCTTGTGCAGGGAAGTATCTATTTTGCATTCTATCTCAGGACTGGATGAACCAAAACTGTCAAAACTTAGCAGCATTATTTGTATACAGTATGAAGTATTGATTCCATTAAATTTTGGCAATTAAGGATTGAAGAGTAGGGAATAGAGGGGGATGTGTGTTATATCTCAAGTGGAGTTAAACTTAATTTTTACTCTGCCGTTATAAACTTTTTAAAAACTCTCCTATATTGACAAAACTATGTCTTGTTTATAAAATCATACTGCCATTTTATGTTACCAGCATAGAGGTATGAAGGAGTACATGTCGAGAGTTGATATTTGGCACAGAGTATTAGGTGCCCAAATCATTTGCGCATAAAAAAATCCAAACTCGTAGGTAGTCAGGGGACCGAGAATCGAGTCAAAATAAAATCCAAAATGGTGACCCTCTTCTACAAACAAGCACCTTACCCCACGGATGTCAGGTGGGGGAGAGTACCATTCACAATCATTCTAAGAAGTGAACTCTGACCTTTGGACTGAACACACAGTTTCTTCTATGTTAAATAAAATTTGTAATCTAATTTTGTAAATTTGGGAGTGATTCAAATATGACATTAAAACAAGGTGTCATTACAAATAGGTTTTTTAACATTATCTAGTATAGTAAAATTGTGGGACCGATAAAAATTTGACGTTATATTAGGGTTGTCGTTACATCCAATGACATTATAATCGGGTTAAACTGTATATTGCTTGTGCAAAATAAAAAAATAATTTTGGATGATACAATAGCCACAATTATTTTTTTCAAAAACAGGAAATTTTCATTACGCATCGACAAAAATTCAACTCGGGCCGACATGCAACGGTGAGAAATTTCAAAATTGGATAGACTAATTTCATCAAAAATGCATCGTGGCCAGTGAAGTTTGAACAATTGCACCCAAAAACAGCAATACCAAAGAAGATTGGAGAATGAGAAAGAGACCTGCCTAGTAGTGAGTCTCCGAGACATAGTCTTGTTCCAAATACAGTTTTGCCATTTTACTTGTCTTCAAAATAAAACCTTTTGCCTTTTTATAATAATGAATAATACATTTCCCTCCAAAAAATAAGAATGAAAGTGAAAATCAGACAAATCAGAACTACTATAATCAATTTTTTCAAATTTTATAGTAAAATAAAACTCTACCTATTTTTAGCATACAAAAAAGGAGTTTCAAATTTAATGTGACATTCAAAAAAATTAACAAAAATGTGGACAAAAGGACAGGTCATACTCTTGAATGAGAAATGTTTGTCAATAAGGAATATGACCTCCTTTTATACTAATATAGACTAAACAACAATTCATGCCAGCTAACAGATAATCAATGAGAATGGAAGGCAGTAATTACCACTGATGTATGAAAGCATGTTGGAGCTCACTTTGGTTATTGTTTGGGTGGGTTTGGCAGGAAGCTACATGCTCTCAAAAGAGCATCTCATATTATGCCCTATAGCAGGTGTGGCCAAACTTTTATCCCTTAGAGCTACTTTTTTTGGTAACATATAGTCTGCGGGCGACTATGAATATGGGCAAACAATTTTAGGATTTTTATATGCGCATGTGTTAACATTAATTTGCATTGTTCATCGGGATAAATACAAACAGTATGGGTATGTTGCACAGACAGTCTATTATTGTAAGAATAAATTATCGAATTAAGATTTTTAAACATTAATTTAAGTGAAAGCAAATTGTTCAACTTTAGCTTCGCGGGCTACTTTCAAAACCTTTGTGGTCGACCGCGGTCGATATGCTGGCCATCCCTGCTCTATAGGATTCAAATCTGGTAAATACACTTGACACTGCATTCATTGGATTTCCTCTGCCATTAGTTAATCATGTATTATATGAGCACTATGTTATTGGGCATTGTTGTCCATAAGAACAAATTCAGCATCAATTGTACCTGCATAAGGTCAAACGATTTCATACTGATATCTTTGGTCTGTCACAGCACCAACTTGGAACACATGGAGATCAGTACATTAGGTTAAGGAAATCCCAGCCCATACAAGGACACCATCATCAGAAAAAGAATGCCAGTCAGTTGATGCTGTGTATCAATCTCTCTCCACACNCGACGTAAGGCGAGGTATACCTGTACATTCTATTAACATAATTGATTAGGACATATACAGCATAATTGATATAGCATTAGTACAGTATAATTGATTAGGACACATATGATCAACTTTAATTTTCAATTTTATAATTATTATGCACAAAATTATAAAGTTTTAAAATATGTTTAAAATTATAAAGGTGATTAGAAGATTAAAGGAAAGAGGAGAACCAATACTTTTCTTTGGCGAAACTGAACAGGAAGCATTTCAGCGATTAAGACGTTTAGAAATTTTGGAACCTGAAGTCGATCGTGGATTTAGAAATGACTTTCAAGAGGCGATGGAAAGGGTTGATCAGGCTTATTTGGATGAAATTCTGAAATCACAAGGAAAGACAGAAAGTGGAAAATCCGTTAATGATGTCAAATTTGAAGATGCTGGAACTACTTTGGAAGAAATAAAGGTAAATATTAAAGCATTATATTAAGATTTGTATAAATTTAAATTTGCAACAAATTGGTCTTTATTTAACACACAAGAAACAACAACACTGCCAACTTTGAATTGGCTTTTGGAGTTGAAATTTCTCACTCTTTCTAATGCTTCAGGTTTCTGTAACCCCATCAGAGACATTAATAGTAAATATGAAAACTATTATTAGGGTTATCAGGGAAACTTATATTTTATGTAAACTTGGAGAATTGATTTATTTTTCTGGAAATTTCCAAATACTAGATTGGTAGTTTGGAACAAAGGAATTTTTAAAGCTAAATATGTTTTAAAATGTTATTTTATGTAAGTATGGAATGTGAATACAAAACTTAATTTAATTAACTTTACCAGGCATATATAATTTTTATTAAAGATGAACAAGTACTATACTATTTATACTATCTGCAAATACTATTCAAGTATTCACTTGAATACTAGAAAGTAACTCAATTACAATAGATGAATAAATAATTTAATACTAGGAAGTATTTGAGATTTGAGATCTAGAATATTATGTTGATAAAAAATAGTCAAATACTCCAATATAGTGCTATACCTTCAATCAAGAAGTACCCAGAAGGGAGGCTAACAAAATATTTAAAATATTTGAATAATTGGGCTGCAGTTTGAAAAAATTGTAGATCTAGAAATTCCCACTGTTGTCTGTTTGTCCCTAACCTTGAGAATGGAGTTAGGTAGATGAAAGACAAGATCAGATATGGAAACCTTAGGGGCAAGAGGGGCCCTGATTAACTATATACGAACATCCAATGCAAACCAAAAATCTTGTTATTTCAATTCAAAACTTCCCCTGAAAGCAGTTAATAGATGACTGCCACAACTATATTGTTAAAGGAAAAGTATGATGTAAAGGGGCAAGGCACTGCTAATTTGAAGGTGGAGAACAGATATTTTAAATTAAATAAATTAAAAATATGATTAAAAATTGCAG